AAAATCCCCCTAAATCCCCCCAACCCCCCACATCCCTGAAATCCCCCCCAAATCCCCCAAATCCACTCAAATCCCCCAAATCCCCAGATCCCCCAAATCCCACAAATCCCGCAAATCCCCCCAAAATCCACCTAAATCCCCCCAAACCCCCACATCCCTTAAATCCCCCCAAATTCTGCAAATCCACTCAAACCCCCCAAAACCCCCAGACCCCCCAAAATCCACCCAAAATCCACCCAAATCCCCCAGATCCCCCCAAACCCTCCCTTTGTTCCAGGATTTGGGGGAATCTGGGGAGATTTGGGATGGGATTTGGGGGATTTGGGGTGGATTTCGGGTGGATTTAGGGTGAATATGGGGGGATTTGGGGGATTTGGGGGAGTTTGGGGGATTCGGGGTATTTTGGTTGGATTTGGGGGGATTTGAGAGGATTTAGGGCAGATTTGGGAGATTTTGGCAGGATTTGGGGGGTCTGAGGTGGATTTGGGGGGATTTAGGGCAGATTTTGGGGGGATTTAGGGGGATTTGGGGGGATTTGGGGCAGAGCTGGAGGGATCTGGGGGCTTTGGAGGGAATTCTGGGGGGTTTGAGGCAGATTTGGGGCGATTTAGGGGAATTTGGGAGGACTTAGGGCAGATTTGGGGGATTTGGGGGGGGATTTTGGGGGGATTTAGTGCGAATATGGGGGAAAAGGGGGAAAAATGGGGATTTTTTGGGAGTTTTTTTGGGATTTTTGGGGGATTTTTGGGGATTTTTTGTCCTTCCAGGGTTGATTGAAGACTGAAATGGGGGAAAAAATGGGAAATTTGGGAAAAAACAAAAAGCAGAGTCGGAGGGATCTGGGGGCTTTGGAGGGAATTTTGGGGGGTTTGAGGCAGATTTGGGGCGATTTAGGGGAATTTGGGAGGACTTAGGGCAGATTTGGGGGATTTGGGGGGGGATTTTGGGTGGATTTAGTGCGAATATGGGGAAAATTGGGGGATTTTGGGGGGATTTGGGGGGATTTAGGGCGGATTTTGGGGATTTAGGGCAGATTTGGGGCTAATTTTGGGAGGATTTGGGGGATTTAGGAGGGAATTGGGGTGGGTTTAGGGTGAATATGGGGGGATTTGAGGGAATCTGGTGTGTTTGGGGGGATTTGGAGTGGATTTGGGGTGGATTTGGGGGATTTGGGGAGACTGGAGGAGATTTTGGGGCGATTTGGGAGGTTTTGGGAGGTTTTGGGGGGATTTGGGTTGGCCTTGGGAGGATCTGGGGTGGTTTGAGGGGATCTGAGGGGGATTTGGGCAGGATTTGGGAGGATTTAGGCCGCGTTCCGGGGATTTTGGGGTGATTTAGGGGGGATTTGGGGAATTTGGGAGGATCTGGGGAACTTTTTGGGAATTTGGGGCGGATTTGGGGCGGAAATTCCCCCCGCGGGGTCGCCATGAGGCTCTGAAGCCGCTTTTGCTCAAACCGAAAAGAAAAAAAAAAGGGACTTTGGGGAGAAAACTTTAATAAATGTATAAACTTCCATCAATTTACAAACGTTTATAAACACTAACAACAAACATTTCCCGCCCGTTCCCTTTAGGCCCCGCCGCCATCTTGGCCCTGAGCGATGACGCCACTTCCGGCGCCTCCCTCTGACGTCACCCCCGGTTCCGGCGCGGCTGTGGCGGAGCGAGGCGGGCCCGGGAGGTACCGGAGGTACCGGGGGGGATTTGGGGGGGATTTGGGGCTCCCGGGGGGGATTTGGGACTCCCGGGGGGGCTCGGGAGGTGCCCGGGGGGCGGGGGCGGCTCTAGGGCGGCCCCGGCGGTGGAACCGGGGCTTCTCCCGTTCGCTGCCTCCGGTACCGACCGCTCTCCCTTCCCCTGTGCTCCCGTGCCTTTCCCCGCCGCCCTTTTCCTTCTCTTCCCGTCCCTGTTCCCTCCCGCTTTTCCCTTTTTGCCTCTTTTTCTCCTTTTTTTTTTCTCCTTTTTTTTCTCATTTTTTTCCTCCTTTTTTTTTCCT